CAACCCGGATCTCAAAAAGAGGGATAGTCAAAGTCTGTGGCCACCTTTAATCTACCACACACCCCCACTTTCCAGAAGAGTATGTGAGGCTTATAGTGTGATAGCTGTTTCCAGGGAATGTAGTTGTTAGACACTATATTGGTTTCCTATTCCTGCTGTAACAAATTGCCATAAGCATAAGTGACTTAAAGGAATCAATTTATTCTCTTATACTTCTGGAGGCTGGAAATCTGAAATGTGTCTTATAGGTGAAAATCAAGGTTCCAGCAGAACTGAGTTACTTCTGGAGGCTCTAGGAGAGAATTTATTTCCTTCCCTTTTGCAGCTTCTAGAGGCTGCCTGCAGTCCTTGGCTGTGCCCCTGCCCTCCACAGCAGGAACACACACTCAAACTCTGCTATCATCACACCTCCTCTCTGACTTTGACCCACTTGCCTCCCTCACATAAGCACCTTTGTGATTAAATTGGGCCCACCCTGATAATGCAAGATGATCTTTCTATCTCAAGATCCTTAACTTAACCCCATCTGCAAGGTCCTGCTTGCCATGTGAGGTGACACATTCACAGGTTCTGAGGATTAGAATGTGGACATTGGGGGTCAATAACCTGTCTATGACAGACACTGAGCCTTACCTAGAGTAGGCTCGCAGCTCATGAAGTGCTGTGTCAGTAACTCATTGCCTTGAATATACAGCATAACTGACCAACCTCCAGACTCAGGCCTTCAACCTAGGAGTCGGTTTAGCTCACAGGCCTGTGAGGTGCTGAGTGGTTCTCACTTTCCCTGATGCCACTCACATATTTGTAGGCCAGGTTTCTCGGCTGGGACAGTTGAGACAAATAGATTTCTTTCTGCATGTCTGGGATCCTCCATGGGCTGGCTCAGGTTTATTTTCACAGCAAGGGCAGAAGTGCAGAAGCCCCAGGAGAAACATGCAAGGGCCTTATAAAGCTTCTGCTAAACTCATGTCTACTGACAGCCTGTTGGTCAAGGCAAGCCATGTGGTTAGGGCGAGGGTCAGGGTAGAGAGGACAGCTAAGAGTTCATGCAAAGGATGTGTGTACAGAGAGTGGTGAATAGTTTGGACTCTGAGTTAATTTCCCTCCTCCTGTGACACGGCTGTTTCAGTTCCAGGTGCCAGTGAATACAAAGTCCACCCGTGAGCATTTGTTATGGGTTTGCACGGGCCAAAGATGTGGGGGCTCTCTATTCTCCCAAGGTGGCTACATCTGTATATTTATCCAATCCTATGAGCTCTCCCGGGGCTTCCCAGGAGACACAGGAAATGCAGGTTTGATTTCTGGGTCAGGAAGATCCCTTGGAGTAGGAAATGGCAACCCACTCCAGTGTTCTTGCCTGGAGAATTCCACGGACACAGGAGCTTGGAGGGCCACAGTCCATAGAGTCACAAAGAGTCAGATGTGGCTGAACATGTACAAGCTTTCCTTAACAGATGACTGGAACTCCTCCCAGTGAGAGGCAGGTTTTATGTTCTCTTTCCTCTTGAATCAGCAGGGTCCTGGGATTGCCTTGAACAATAAAGCACAGCAGAAATGATGCCATGTGACTTCCAAAGTTTAGGTCACAAAAAACTTCAGCTTCTGCCTGGCTCCCTCTATCTCAAAATGTTCAACTTTGGAACCTAGTAGCCATGTTCATGAAGCTCAGGTCACATGAAAATTTCCCCTTGAAGAGAAATCAAGGATTTCCCCCAACAGCCAGCACCAACTGGTCAGCCATGTGAATAGGCAACCTTGAAAGTAGGTTCTCCAGACCTAATCACACCTTTAGAAACTGTAGCCTTGGCTGACTTTTTGACCACAATCTCATGAGAGCTGAATCAGAACTAACCAGCCAAGCCATTCTCAGATTCCTGATCCACAGAAACAATGAACAGTAATAAATGATTATTATCATTTTAAGTCACCAATATTTGAGATAATTTGTTGTGCAGCATTAGCTAACTACTACAGACCCATTCATGAGGCTTAGGACAGAGTGAGAATACACATGGTCTGAGAATTTTAAGGACCCTACGGTCTCCAGGTGACCAAACAGGCACTAATGGAATCAACAAGAATGTGTGTCTTAGGCCATTGGACTGCTACAACAGAATACTACGGATTGGGTGGCTGATAAACAACAAGAATTTATTTCTCATCCTTCTGGAGGCTGGGAAATCCAAAAGCAGGTTACCTGCAGATTTGGTATCTGATGAAAGCTCACTTCCTGACTCACAAGGTGCTGTCTTCTCACTGCGTCCTCACATGGCAGAAGGGGCCGGGAAGCCCTTTGCGGTATCCTTTACAGAAGCACTAATCTGTTCATGAGGGCTCTATCCCTGTGACCTGATCTTTGTCCAAATGCCCCACCTCCAAATACCACCACATTGGCAATTAGGATAAAGAGGGTCACAGACTTTCAGTCTGTAGCAATACAGGAAGTATTTAATACAGTCAGGATATATTTAGGTTACTAAGAGGAAGGGTGGGTCAGAGATACGGTGACCGTATTTTCCTCAACTCAAAATTGGGACAATTGTCTAATGGTAGCCCATTGTAGCTTTGAATTGCAACAGAATATTTAGATCAAGACTGACCAGAATAGTCAGGTTGGTATGGTCCCTTTGTCCAGAAATTGTCCTGTCCAGTTGGGGCTTAATGTGATCTGTAAGGGCTATCTGTGGTGACAGCTACTGTGATGGCGAAAAAGTGATGATTGCATGAATATTTCCAGGCTTCACCCTCTCCCTTGTCTGGGAGAGAGGGCTTTGCTCAGTCATCTTCCCATCACCTCTCCAGTGGGGGTCTGTGTGTTTTGGGCTTTGAGTTGCAGAATCAGGAGAGAAGTGAAGAGAAGAAGGGATGTGCCTAGAGTTGGAAGAGGAGTTTGGGAGGCAAGAATTTTGGAAAAGAGCACTACAGGATCAGATCTGGTATACAGAGAAATAAACAGGAGAGGAAAAACAGAATTTTGAGATGTATTGTTTTGATCCTTCTCATAGGATTCTCAAGAACTTGAGTTATTTTGAAAGGTTTTTTTTTTTGGTTGCCAGATTGAGTTTATTTGATGGCAAATGCTTTTGAGAATGGACCATGAGGGTAATGGCTCTCTAGGGGCCGTGCTGTGATTTCACAGCAGACGGAGAGTGGGGTGTGGTGAACGCTTCTATGTGTAAGGAGATGGCTGAATCAGTAACTGTGAGGGGAAGAAATTGAAAGCCAAAAGAACATTTATATGTTTCAGGCTTGGGAGCCTGTGTGACTTAGGGCCTGGAGAATTTGGGCTGCCCTAGGCCCAGCCATGTCCAGATATGTGAAAGGAGCCCAGATATGTGAAAGTCTCAAGGCTTTTTGAGAACTAACTGTCTGTGGCATCAGCGACTACTCTGGCTGTAGCCCCTGGAGCAGCTCCAGGAGAGGACGGGGAAGGAGGGCTTGGCCAGAGCTTGACTAAACAGAAGATGCTGGGCTGTGGGGAGAAGCAGGAGCTTTTCAGGGCCCTCAATGAGGAACTCAAAAGTAAAGATGGGGAAAAGTTGTCCCGAGAGTAAGGGTGTGTATGTGAAGATCTCCCTCAGTTTTCTGAAATTTCTCAGGGGATTGTGAGTTTCTCAAGGGCAAGGGCTGGTTCTTTTCTGCATTTGTTTCTCAGACTTAACACCACGCTCGACAGTTTGTAGTTGCTCCATAATTAATATTAGAGGGAGGAAGGGAAGGAAGATTGGTTGATTCTGGGACCTCCCTTCAAAATTAGTTGGCTACCTAATTAAGACATGGCATTGTTCTTTTTGGGCTTCCCTGATAGCTCAGTTGGTAAAGAATCCGGTTGTTCTCACTGAAATCTAATTTCTCCTGGTGACAGAGCTGGAGTAGAAGACACTGATTTCAGTCCTAAGTGTTCAGAGTTCTAGATTTCCTTTTATCTGCTCTAGATCCAGCCATGCCTCTTCTCACAGTGAAGACTGGATGATAGGGAAGCCATTCACAATCTGCCTTGGAACCGTGGAGCCGGCAAACTAGTTACTGAAATTCCTTACAGACGTTTCGGTCTCTTGTAAGAGACTGGCTGAAATGAGAGTTAAATGACACGCGCCTGAAAGGCCCTGACACAACCTCTAGCAAATAAATGGGTCTCAAGACACTCAGCTCTCCGTTTCTCCGGTGGGTAAACACAGTCCTGTTCACTGACTAACCTGACCGCTGTTCACACTTCATCTCTTCAAGCCGCCCTCTTCTACTTTCTCTCTCGTCTCTGGCCTTGCTTCCTCCTGATGTCCCCCAGTCTTGGTCAGTCCTGGGCCCTGACCCTATTTTCCTGCTGCATTTCTCTGGCTAGCTCTGCTCAGGCTTTTTGGTAGGACTGCGGTGGCATGGCTCCCAGGAGGCTCGTGCCCAGGAGATGAGGGGCCCACACAAAGCCGCAGAGATAGGACTGTCCAGTGCACGGCTTCTGGAAGGGTAACGCCCATCTTTCCGGTAGCTGCACACAGCATGTTGGGGAGTGGGAACTAAAACTTAAAACGAGGTGCACTGACCTTTCACAGGACTCCAGGGCTCTGTCTCAGCCCTGGGAGCCCCTTCTCCCCTAGCCTTCAGCCCCACCTCAGTTGCCAGCCTCTCTGACTGCCCTCTAACCTCTGCCTAGATGGGGATGGCAAGCTGCAGGTTAGCCTGGGTTCCTTGTCTCATCTTTCCCAGCCTTGAAGGTGGGGGTCTCACACAGGGTGCCCCAGCCCTGCTGTGGGCATTTGGAAATGCCTCTGAGGAGCCCGTTTCTCAGATTGCACTGGGGAGTGTCCACAAGCTGGTGGTGGATCTGTGCCTGATTAGGAGGAAGACAGTAGCGGTGGGGTCAGCCTCTCTAGACAATGGGTTTGCACACGGTGAGGAATGTTCCCAGAGAGCCCAGGTGAGCGGTCAGGTCAGAGTGGAGGAAACTCAGCCGCAGCCACGGCTCGCCCCATTCAGGTGAGCCTTCGCTGGTGACACACGAGCCCTCAGGAAGCAGGAGAGCCGGCCTGCCTTCTGGCCACCGCGGGGCACCCGTGCGCTGCGAGCAGGCCCGGAGGAGCTGCCAGCGTGGCCGGTCCAGGCTGAGGAGGCCGTGGCTGGGGCAGAGCTGCTCCGAGCCGCCCTGGCAGGCTCATGTCACATTCCAGAGAGCTCAGGACCGAGAACCCTGCTCGGCCTGAGATGTCTGGAGTGGCATCCAGCCCGGCGTTGCCTCTTCCCTCCATACTCTTTCTGGGTCCTGAGGCCAAAGGTTCAGCTGGAGCTTCCATCTTTCTTTTCTGCAGACGGGCTGCGTTGGAACTAAAGAGGACAGGGAAATGGGTGGGTGTCAGCCAGGGGAACTTTCCACTTTGCTTCAGGCTGTTGGAAAGCCAGTTATCTCTAAAAAGTGGGCTGAGCACTCCAAGCGCTCAGCACTGAGCCAGCCACACCCAGAGTACAGAGATGAGGAGGCCTGGTCTCTGCTGTAAGCTGCTATCTGTCTAGGAGGGAGGGGACTGCTCACAGAACCGTCTTTACAGCCTCACTGGCTGATACCTGCATACATGTTCAGTCGTGTCTGACTCTTTCTGACCTAATGGACTATAGCCTGGCAGGATCCTCTGTCTATGGAATTTTCCAGGCAAGAATACTGGAGTGGGTTGCTATTTCCTCCTCCAGGAGATCTTCCCAGCCCAGGAATTGAACCCATGTCTCCTGAGGCCGTGTACCTGGAGGAGATCAAAAGAGGAGATACTACCAAAGTTTCCAAACCACTGAACTCCCCAGACTGCACAAGGATAGGAAACATATCTGCTTGTTCATGGCCAGTGCCTGGCACAGCGTCTGGCCCACTGGAGTAGCTTAATGTACATTTGTTGAATGAATGAATAAATGAAATGCGGTAGTCAAAGAAAGCTTCCTGGACTAAAGGGAATTTGAATAGGGCCTTGGAGGATGGGCAGGATTTGACCAGGCCAAGCTTAAAGGAAGTGTATCCTAGGCACCTGGGAGCCTTGTAAAGAGAAGCAGGAAAGGAAAACGGCCACAGAAGAGCTGTTCTAGACAAGGGAGGAGGGACAGCTTCCCTGTTACTTCAGGATAAAGTGCAGGCCTGCAGCGTCTCTTCTGAGCCCCTCTGAAGCTGGCTTTGCCTTTCACTTCAGTACTATCTCTACCCTCCAGGCAACTCAAGTATTTATTTGCAATCCTTGGAACAAGACTCTTATTCTCTCTCCTCCAGGCCTGAAAACAGTCTCACCCTCTCTGGCAAGAAGACTCTGCACCCCTGCCTCTACATCAGCGGTCTCTTCCTCCCAAGGTCTTCCCTTCCTCAGTTACGTTGGTCAGCCTGTTACTGACTAAGGTTCTTGGCTTTCTTAATCAATAGAAATTGATCGGAGTCCTGATAAGAAATACAAGCCAGGCTTTATTCCCCCTGGAGCAGCAGTGGGGAACAAGAACAAACAGTAGTTTCCTTTGCTTGCTCACTTGCTGGAGGCAGGAGGGGAGGCAGACTATAATTCCTTATGTTTATTTGTGTTTTGTTTTTCAAGTAGATGTGCATCTAGGCACAAGCATTTCAGCCATGGGTTCCAGGTTCAGCCTGTCTAAGTTCCGAGTGTGGCCACACCGCCCCACGCTTGCCTCCGTCACCATCCCTGGCCAAGAGTAAGTTGTCCCAGATTCCCCCAGAGACTGCCAGTCACAGTCTGGCAATCGACTACAACTTCAGCAAACTGGGTGCCAATGTCAGAGGTGGCCAGCATCCAGGAGGCTGACAAAATGAGAAGGTGTGGTCCCAAACACGCTTGACCTTGGTTACATACATCTGTAAGTGGAAGGGCCTGGGCTGAACCGAGCGTGACTTACCAAGCTTTTCCATAAAGCCAAGTGTGATTTCTGATCACAGTGGTGGATGTGGATTTCCCATTAGCCCGTATAGCTCCTTGGACCTTGAGATCAAGTCTCATTCTCCTTTGTATCACCAACTAAGCACTATACCGGCCACATTGTAGGCTTAATATTTAATTGTTTACCTATTTGGCTAATTAATTGGTCACACCCACTTAGAGAAGGTGACATCATAATTTCCCGACTCTGCCCTCAATCTTGAATTTCTCAATCTTAATTCCCCCTTCTGCAGGAAGGGGTACTTACCCCTAGAGAATATGCCCAGAATAGAACATAAAACCAGAAGTAGAAATAAGAAGGCTACTACAGTCAGTGAAAGCAGGTTCCCAACTAAACATCATATGCTTAGAGATAGTAAAGGTCCTCTAAAGAGACACTTAGCCCAAGCTTTCACTTTTAACATGAGAAACCCAGACTAGGATGTGGAAATTATTTGTTAAGGTCACAAGACATCTCTTGCACATCAGATCCTGATATTGGACTTTGAGGCTCAGTGTTCCTTGCATTGTAGCAGACCACCACTAAGCCTCTTCCTACTGCCTTTTCCCAAGAAGGAGCCTGGTGGAAAGATCATGGTCATGTGTGCCAGTCATGAGTTCAAATCCTGATTCTGCTACTTAACTATCATTAGACCTCATGTGATATACAGATTATTCTCTTGTGAGAGAGAGATCGAGCCCCTGTATGAGGGCCAGCCTCTGAACTTAGTGACAGAGTGTCAGCAGACAGCCGATGCTGTGACTCTCAATCAACGTCAGTCCTGCTCTCCTTCCTCCCAGCTCTTGCTTCTCTGTCCTTTCCCTGGCTCTGGGGAACTTGTAATGTCTGATGAGAAGTGCTTCTGGAGGTCCCTAAGCTCATTTGCCTCCATGGATTCAGGGTCCATCTCTCCTTCCAGCTTCTAAGGAAGACATGGCAGTGGACAAAGGTGGGCAGGTCGCATCCTGAGAGCTGGGATCTTTCAGAGTCTTTGCTGAAGTTTAGCAGTGAAGCTGTCTTCTCTCTCTTGCTCCCCAGGAGGATGCGAATGGCTCCATTTTTTTTGTTTTTTTAATCTTCCCCTTTCCTTTTTCTACTCTGTGTGTTTATTTTTCCTTCACTGTCCTAATCTAGCCTCCTTTCCTCCCTCTCCAAGGCTCCAGGAGCCACCTCCACCCCTTCTCTCCTCCTCCCTGTCCTGTGATTTGTCTACAGATGGCAGCTGAGCAATGTCCCCTGGACAGCCCTGCCTGACCCAGACGTCCTCCCAGCCACACTCAGAGCTGCCCACCACACCGCAGCTTCCGAGGCAGTCTGTCTGGGGCAGACGGAAACAGCGCAGCCGAACAGAGCCTGCAGGCTGGGCCCGGCAGCTGTCTCTGTCAGCCGTCTGCTTGAGGAGAAGCAAGGCTCAAGGCTGTCTTCCCGGATGCTCTGACAAACTGCCCATGGTCCCCAGGGCCTCCGCCTTCTCCACACAAGGGATGCTGCTAGCTCTCCTTGCCCCAGATCCTCTTCCTGGGCTGCACTGAACCCTTGCCGGAAAATTTCCGGGCAGGCTAAAGCAATCTGCTGGGAAAACAAACCCTGTGCCCAGCAAGGCAGGATGGGCCAAAGGGTTTCAGTTTAATCCAAAAGCTCAGAGCACAGACTAGACCTCTGAGTTTGGAGGGCCTTTTGGTTGTTGTTTTGACAGCCTGTCTTTCCTTGTGTTGACTGCCTCCTTGCTTCTTTTTGCCTCACTCTTTCCTCTCCCCTCCTGGCACTGGGGAAGGTCAGGAATGGAGGGCGGGCAGGCAGGGCCAGAAGGGAAGCAATTTCACTGTCTGGTACTGTTCTTGGTCTTCAGTCTCACTAGAAGACCTCACTGATATTCCAGTGCTGGCCAGCCTGGGGAATGGCGTGACCTTGTGTTCAGGTAGTATGGTCCAACTTTATCAAAGCATCTTCATTTCCATTAATCCATTTTAGTCCCCTAGCAGCCCTGGATAGGGTGTAAGGTGAGAGACAGGCCTCACAGGTCACAGAGGTCAGCTATGTCCACACTTAACTCCCTCCTAGCCATTGGCATCTGTAACCATCCCTTTAGAGAACGTCTTTTGTGGATCCAGAGACAAAGTTCCTGAAGCTTGCACATATTGGCCTCACACTGAGGTTCTTGAGAGCATGGACTCTGGTTCAAAATCTGACTCTCCTCTGAGTGACTGGGAAGCCTTGGGCAAGTTACTTAGCCCCTCTGTATCTCAGTTTCCTTATCTGTAACACAGTGGTAATATTATGAGGACGTTTTATTGTTCAGTCACTCAGTCACCTCCAACTCTTTGTGCTTCCATGGACTGCAGCATCCAGGCCTTCCTTCCTTCACCATCTCCCAAAGCTTGCTCAAACTCACGTCCATTGAGTCGGTGATGCCATCCAACCATCTCATCCTCTGTCGTGCCCTTCTCCTCCTGCCTTTAGTCTTTTCCAGCATCAGGATCTTTTCTAATAAGTTGGCTCTTCGCATCAGGTGGCCAAAGTATTGGAGTTTCAGCTTTAGCATCAGTCCTTCCAATGAATATTCAGGACTTATTTCCTTTAGAATTGTCTCATTTGATCTCCTTGCAGTCCAAGGGACTTTCAAGAGTCTTCTCCAACACCACAGTTCAAAAGCATCAATTCTTCAGCACTCAGCTTTCTTTATAGTCCAACTCTCACATCCATACATGACTACTGGAAAAACCATAGCTTTGACTAGATGGACCTTTGTTTGCAAAGTAATGTCTCTGCTTTTTAATATGCTATCTAGGATTGTCAAGGAGCAAACGTCTTTTAATTTCATGGCTGCAGTCACCATCTGCAGTGATTTTGGAACCCAAGAAAATAAAGTCTCTCACAGTTTCCAGTGTTTCCCTATCTATTTGCTATGAAGTGATGGAACCAGATGCCATAATCTTAGTTTTTTGAATGTTGAGTTTTAAGACAGCTTTTTCACTCTCCTCTTTCACCTTCAACAGGCTCTTCAGTTCCTCTTTGCTTTCTGCCATAAAGGTGGTGTTATCTGCATATCTGAGGTTGCTGATATTTCTCCCATCAGTCTTGATTCCAGCTTGTACTTTGTCCAGCCTGGCATTTTCCATGGTGTACTCTGCATAGAAGTTAAATAAGCAGGGTGATAATATACAGCCTTGGCATACTCATTTCCCAATTTTGAACTAGTTTGTTTTTCCATGTTGGGTTCTAACTTCTGCTTCTTGACCTGCATACAGGTTTCTCAGGAGGCAGGTAAGGTGGTCTGGCATTCCCATCTCTTTAAGAATTTTTCACAGTTTGTTGTGATCCACACAGTCAAAGGCTTTAGTGTAGTCAATGAAGATGAAGCAGAAGTAGATGTTTTTATGGAACTCTCTTGCTTTTTTGATGATCCAACGAATGTTGGCAATTGGACCTCTGGTTCCTCTGCCTTTTCTAAATCCAGCTTGTGCAACTGGAAGTTTTCAGTTCACATACTGTTGAAGCTTAGCTTGGAGAATTTTGAGCATTACTTTGCTATCATGTGAAATGAGTGCAGTTGTGCGGTAGTTTGAACATTCTTTGGCATTGCCCTTCTTTGGGACTGGAATGAAAACTGACCTTTTCCAGTCCTGTGGCCACTGCTGAGTTCTCCAAATTTGCATACTGAGTGTAGCAGCATCATCTTTTAGAGTTTGAAATAGATCAACTGGAATTCCATGACCTCCATTAGTTTTGTTCATAGTGATGCTTCCTAAGGCCCACTTAACTTCATACTCCGGGATGTCTGGTTGTAGGTGAGTGATCACACCATCGTGCTTATCTGGGTCATTAAGCTCTTTTTTTTGTATAGTTCCTCTGTGTTTTCTTGTCATCTCTTCTTAATATCTTCTGCTTCTGTTAGGTTCACACTGTTTTTGTCTTTTATTGTGCCCATCTTTGCATGAAATGCTTACTTGGTATCTCTAATTTTCTTGAAGAGATCTCTATCTTTCCCATTGTATTGTTTTCCTGTATTTCTTTGCATTGTTCACTTAGGAGTCTCTTTTCTCTCCTTGCTATTCTTTGGAACTCTGTGTTCAGATGGGTATATCTTTCTTTTTTTCTTATAGGGACTTATTGATTACTCTTTAGAAAGTGTTTAGCACAGAAAGTGCCATATTAGTGTTTGCTCAGTAAATTAGTCCCGGTTCTGAAACATGGTGTCACAGGGGTCCTAGCCTTCCCTCAGTCACGGACAACACTCATGGCTCCCCGAATCTCTTCTTAGCCAAGCTCTCCATTTGCTCAAGAAATGTCCATTGAACACTCACAGTGTGCCTTGGCCTTCAGTGTGCTGTGTGTGTGGGACAAAATGGTCCCTGTGTGCATGGAATTTATAGCAAATGCATAAATAAATACACAATTTCAAACTGTGGTGTATCATGAAGGAAAGGAAAAAGTAGAAAGCTGTGCAAGAGACTAATTGGGGGAGGGTAGTGGTAAGAAGATCTGAGCCCCTAAACCAGGAAATGACCCTGAGCCCAGACTGGAAGGGTAAGGAATAGCAGCTACAGAAGTTGGGGGGTGAATACGAGCTTTCTGGGCAGAGAGAAGAGCTTGCGCCTGAGTAAGAAGAACCGGGACATGTAACAAACAAAAGAAAAGCAACATGGTGAGAGGCCATGGAGTGGGTACTGTGGGAGTGGACCCCGGAGAGTTAGGTAGAACCAGAGCTAGGATTCGGGCTTGCAGGTAATGTAGAGTGTGAATTATGGAAGGGTTTTATGTGGTGAAGTGGTCCGGTCCCATTTTGGTTTTCAGAGCTCTCTCTGGCTGTGGCGTAGAGAGCAGCTTGCTGGCAAAGTGGTGAAGAAGGGAGTGAATAGGAGGGTGAGCAGTGACCCTAGGGGATGTGACAGTGACTTAAGCTGGAGAAATGGCTGCTGGGGGAGAGAAGTGGGCTAAGCTGAGATGTGTTCTGGAATTAGAAGGAAGAGCTTAAAAGTGGCACGTGTGAGAAAGCTTTTAGGGTTTCATGGGTGTTAAGCTGGGTGTGGGGCTTCCCAGGTGGTGCTAGTGATAAAGAACCTCCTGCCAATGCAGGAGACACAAGGGACTGATGTGGGAAAAGCGGGAAAACCTGTCAATTCCCGGGTCGAGAAGATCCCATGGAGGAGGAAATGGCAACCCACTCCAGTATTCTTACTTGGAGAATCCCAGGGACAGAAGAGCCTGGTGGGCTACGGTCCATGGGGGTCACAGAGAGTCGGACATGACTGAGCGACTCAGCACACACGGACAAAAGCTGGGTGTGACTCAGGCTGGTGATGGGTGGATGTGGGGGAATGGATCTGAAGGTGGTATCGAGGCTGCCTCCCCACATTGTGGCTGGAGCACCCTGGTAGGTGAAGATGAAGAATGTAACACTTGCAAACATTCCTTTCCTCAACACTCCTAAACCCCATCTTTTGAATGTGCTCCATTTGCCACTAATGAAGACTTGGAGTGCTGATCTTAGACAAACTAGAAGACTCCTGAAAATGGGTTATTTTTAGCACAGAGAATGACTGCTGTCTCTCTGTTCTAAATTCCATGCTTTCATGACAAATCATCGAGTCTGGGTCCAGATTAACTCTGACTCTATCATTTACTAGCTAAGAGATCTTGGGTAAATTGTTTGAATCTCTCTTTGCCTCCATTTCCTCTTCTGCAAAATGGAAATAATCAGGAGGTACCTACCCCGTTAAGTTATTCTGAGGAGAACCTGGGATCGTGCTGAGCACATGGTGAAAATTACCATTCATAGGGTGAATGGTTATTCTTACCAGCTCTTAAAGCCACACAAAGTTTACCATCCTCAAAAACCCTAAAAGCTTTCCTATACATGCCACTGCTCAGTCCTGCCTCATCATTCTGCTCTTGGGCACTTGGATTTTAAACTCAAGTTTGGGTGCTGACACTTATCCCTGTTAAACCCCATCTTGTTAGATGCAGTCTATCAGTTTCCTTCGGATTTTAATGAAAGGTCAAACAATGCATGCTAAGTTCATTTTGGCGGCTACAGAGGCATAATGGATGGTGCTTTCACCACCTTCTTGCCGCCAGCTTAGTGGCCCTGGCCTTGGGAGGGGAGGTGCGGGTAGCTCAGGGCTGGGATGGAGCTGGGATACAGCCATGCTCTGTCTTGCCCTGAGGCTGATACAGCACAACCATCTTGGAGCCCTTTCTCCCAAGTCCAGTACTGGCTTTGAGTTTTGAAATGTAGGGCCAGAGGGACCTGTTCACGGTCATTTAGTGGGTTGGCCGTGACACAGATCTAGGACTTGGGCTCCATTTCTGTCTCCAAAGGCCCCTCCACTTACGTTCTCACCTCTTTCCAAACCACTCCATCATATCGTCTGACTCCAGACCAGAGAAGAATATAGTCCAAAGAGATGCACATCTCCTTGGAATCCTCTTTCCTCTCATGTACTTCCGTAGAGTGGATGTGTACTTGGGTCCCTTTGAGTTTAGGCACCACACCCCGACCCTGCGCACCAACCCCACCATATACCTACCATTTCTGCACCAATCAGAAGACCTCTTCCATCTTGACTGAGGAAATCTGTGCTCTGTTCTATTTATACCTCTCTTCTGAACCTTTCCAAAATCCCTCCACACCTTGGAGTTTATCTCCTCATGGTTATGGAGGGTGGCTTTGATGTTCATGCTTAACTGCACACATTAACGAGCCTTCTTTCTTCTTCTTTTTCTTCATCTTCTTCTTCTCCTTCCCCTCCTCCTCCTCTTTCTTCTTCCTCTCTAACTTCCTGAGCTTGGGGGTCTCCCATTAGGCTGAGAGCTCCCACAGAAGTGCTGTGTAATGCGGGAGTTCCTCTCCTTCTCCACCTGCTCTCCTAGTGCCTACTGGACTCTGTTCATGGGGGGAGCTGAACTTCAAGGTGACCCTGGCACTTAGCAAAGGCTTGTGAAGAGAGTCAAACCTGGAAACTCAGTGCAGCAATGATCCACTGATTCTACAGTCCTTTCAGAGTCTGGGAGAGTGTGGAATGTTGGGGACACATTCTAACGCTAGGCCCATGTGTCTGCCCCACAGGCTGGGCACAGCAACATGTCTTTTGTACAACTGAAAGACTTAACCAGATTCCAGAACTGACGAATCACTTCATCCAGTGCCTGCCACTGGTCTCCTTCTCTTGTTAATGTGTTCCTTGTTCACTGTGTATGCTGAAAGGTATTTTTCCAGGTGGTAGATTCTATTGGGAATTGAATTTAGCTAACAATCAGGCTTAGTAAATAACTAGGAGGGCAAGGAGAGAGGGGAAGACAGATCCTGTTAGATTCTAATGCTGGCACCACAGCCTTCACTGGAGCAATCCACTGAAACTAGGGAATGAGAAAAAAAATTCTGTAAGGCACCCTCCTCAAGTTTCCCACTCCTCAAATAAACCTTGGTTAGCTTTCTCTGCCAGTCTGCTGGTCTGGCCTGGAGAAGACCAGAGAAGAGAGGGGCCGGGGTAAGATAGAGAAAAGAGAAAATATAAATGTGTATAGTGCTTTATATCTCTTCAAAGTACTTTCACCTCTGTAAGTTCAACATTCATTCTGTGCTGTTACTATACACGCATTCATCCGTCACACTTCGTGAGAGCCTCCTACATGCCAGGCCACCTGTCAGGTGCTTAGAGGGATGTAATGGTGAATTACAACTGTGGGAGATAAAAAACCTCAGTGGGTGTGGGGACTGGGGAGACAGAACAGACAGAAAATGAGAACTTACAGTGGAAAAAGAGTAATGGGGACCAAAGGGGAGCAAACCCACTCTATGAGAGAGATATCAGGGTCTGCACAAAGGAAGCGATGGCGGACCTGGGTTGCCCCTCATGAGGAGTGAAGGAAGGGGAAGACAGAGGGAAGAAAGTTCTTCCTTTTGTCTAGTCTAACTCTCATCACAACTGATACTCATCAGCAGAGAGCAGTCAGTGTGGTGAAAGGCCTAGAAACCAGAGTGTATCAGGAAAAGATGAAAGAACTCTGGAGTCTGATCTGGAGAACAGGGGTGGAGATGAGAACCAGCCTGACTGTTATCTGAAGGATTATGGGTGACAGAAAGACAAGGCAAATGTTTCTTGTGACTCCTGGGGGCAGAAACTGGGGCCAGGAAATGGAAGTGAAACAAGAGCTCGGTAGGGCTTCCCTGGTGGCTCAGAGAGTAAAGAATCTGCCTGCAAAGCAGGAGACCCAGGTTTGTTCCCTGGGTCGGGAAGACCCTCTGGAGAAGAGAATGTCTAACCATGCCAGTATTCTTGCCTGGAGAATTCCATGGACCGAGGAGCCTGGTGGGCTACAGTCCATGGGGTCACAAAGAGTCAAACATGACTGAATGACTATCACTTTCACTTTTTCACTTTCAGAGAAAGAAAACATGTATGTAATGCAGACAAATCAACCTAGGCTGATGCCTCCTTCCCCCAGGAGAGCATTTGGTAAACTCTGGAGACAGTTTTAGTTGTCACAACGGAGGTGGTTGTTACTGGCATATCGGTGCTCATAGAGGCCAGGAATTCTGCTGCATAGCTTACAGTGCACAGGAAACTTTCAGCAAAGACTTCTCCAAGCCCAAGCATCAAAGTGCCCGGGTCAGCGTGGTGGACGTCGTGTGAGGAGTGGGGTTCTCATCTCAGATACCAGCAGTGCCCCTTTCCAGCCCTGAGCCAATGGGCAAGTTATTCAGCCTCACTTGTTGTCAGTATCCTCATCTGTGAAATGGGAATAATACCAGTTTTCAGAGTCAAAGTGCCATTTGGTGGGGTCTTTCTGTGTAGTGTCAGTAAAGTGCCTGCTATAGAGAATGTGCGCTAGTAGCTCCTGTTATTATAGCATGAAGATTTTTTCCCCCTTTCATCAGCAGAACTGCCCAAGAATCTATCAGAGGGTCAGAGAGGTCATGAGTTGTAGTAAGTCTTCTTTCCCTGAGAATACTCAGCCTCCTGCGGGAATATTACGGAGGTTTTTTTGGAATAAATGGGAAATTAGGCTATGTGATGTACTAGTTACTTGGTCTTCCTATTGTGGCATTTCTTTTCAGGTGAGTCCTGACGTCTGCACTATAGCCTAGCACCCCAGTGGATCAGAGGGATAGCACTCTCTGAAAACCAAAGAACTGAGGAATGAGTCCTGATGAAAACGGTCCCTGCACCTTAAATAATGGTTCTACCCCACCCTATTCCACCACCTGCGTTCTCTCCTTTAATAAAAGGCAGAAACTGAAGCAGGTCCTTCCAAAGTAATGCACAGCATATAAAGGTCAGAAGGAGACCAGGAGGAAAGGGAAGTCAGGCACTCCGCTTGGGAAGGGGGAGGCTGAGGGGAACGTGGGAAGCCCTGTGACAGCGAGGTGTCCAGTAGGATGGCCGGCCCATTCTCTGCCTCCAGAGGCCAGCAGGAGGAAGGAGTATTGCTGAAGATGGGGGTACCTGAAGCTGCAGTGCCTCCCGGTCAACAAAGCCAGGAGCCTATGAGCTGGGTACTGCAGAGGGTGGCCACACCCCTCTGCGCTCTAGATGCCAAGTCAGGAATCTCTGGAGAGAGTCCAAGGAAGGGTTACAGAACACCCTAGACCTGGAATCGCCACCATACTAATCCTTCTGCGCTGCCTGATCTCCCTGCTTCCACTGCAATCAGAACAGCTGAGGCTAGAAGAGATGGGAGAGGAGGAACAACAGTGATAAATAGGCCTCAGGCGAGAGACCAACACATGGATCTAATTCGAAGGCTTATTCAGGGAGTAATGAGGGGCACAAGGGTATCTTGGACAGTCTGACTTGACTGGAGAGTGTGCACGTGTCCAGCCCAGCAGCCCTCTGCCCGAGGCTGTCATTGCAAGGCTGTCAAGAGATTTGCTATCGTTTGCCACCTCCAAGGAGCGGCTGCTGCACAGGCGCAGGAGGGCCAAGAGGAGCTACTCCACGTTCAAGGTCAGAAGGGGCAGCCGTGAGAAAATACCCCTCGTCCAAGGTAAGGAGCAGCGGCTGCGCTTTGCTGGAGCAGCCGTGAAGAGATAGCCCACATCCAAGGTAAGAGAAACCCAAGTAAGACGGTAGGTATTGCGAGAGGGCATCAGAGGGCAGACACAATAAAACCGTAATCACAGAAAACTAGCCAATCTGATAACAGGACCACAGTCTTGTCTAACTCAGTGAAACTAAGCCATGCCGTGTGGGGCCACCCAAGACGGTTGGGTCATGGTGGAGAGGTCTGACAGAATGTGCTCCACTGGAGAAGGGAATGGCAAACCACTTCAGTATTCTTGCCTTGAGAACACCATGAATAGTATGAGAAAGCAAAATGATAGGATACTGAAAGAGGAACTTCCCAGGTCGGTAGGTAACCAATATGCTACTAGAGATCAGTGGAGAAATAAATCCAGAAAGAATGAAGGGATGGAGCCAAAGCAAAAACAATACCCAGTTGTAGATGGGACTGGTGATAGAAGCAAGGTCTGATGCTATAAAGAGCAATACTGCATAGGAACCTGGAATCAAGGCAAATTGGAAGTGGTCAAACAGGAGATGGCAAGAGTGAATGTCAACATTCTAGGAATCAGCGAACTAAAATGGACTGGAATGGGTGAATTTAACTCATATGACCATTATATCTGCTACTGTGGGCAGGAATCCCTTAGAAGAAATGGAGTAGCTATCATAGTCAACAAAAGAGTCTGAAATGCAGTACTTGGATGCAATCTCAAAAATGACAGAATGATCTCTGTTCCTTTCCAAGGCAAACCATTCAATATCACGGTAATCCAAGCCTATGCCCCAACCAGTAATGCTGAAGAAGCTGAAGTTGAACGGTTCTATGAAGACCTACAAGAAGTTTTAGAACTAACACCCCAAAAAGATGTCCTTTTCATTATAGGGGACTGGAATGCAAAAGTAGGAAGTCAAGAAATACCTGGAGTAACAGGCAAATTTGGTCTTGGAGTACAGAATGAAGCAGGGCAAAGGCTAATAGAGTTTTGCCAAGAGAACGCACTGGCCATAGCAAACACCCACTTCCAACAACATAAGAGAAGACTCTACACATGGACATCACCAGATAGTCAACACCGAAATCAGATTGATTATATTCTTTGCAGCCAAAGATGGAGAAGCTCTATACAGTCAGCAAAAACAAGACTGGGAGCTGACTGTGGCTCAGATCATGAACTCCTTACTGCAAAATTCAGACTTAAACTGAAGAAAGTAGGGATAACCACTAGACCATTCAGGTATGACCTAAATCAAATCCCTTATGACTATACAGTGGAAGTGAGAAATGATTTAAGGGACTAGATCTGATAGACAGCCTGATGAACTATGGACAGAGGTTCATGACATTGTACAGGAGAC